ATTTATGGTTGAAAGTTATCTTGCTGAAATTTCTATTGATGCTTTTCAGGTTGTCCACATCTCTTCAACCTCGTTGCCCAGGTAAAACCTAGAACTAATGCATACGGTTCTTCATGTGTCCAGTTTAATTCTTTTGTGGCTTCCTAATTTCCTACAAGAGGAATGCTTATTAAAGGATGATCAAGATTTTTTTTTTAATTTTTCCCCACTGCTAGTATGTAGTGCATGAGTCATTGTTCTGTTAGTCTCTGGGTCTCAAAGTCATATTCTACACAAGTATGGTGTTACTAGGAATTCCGATTGAGACACATACTCATCATATATTGCAACATCAGACCTCACGATCCTGTAAAAAGGAATTTGGTGTGTTGGAAACTCACTTGTTTAGTTTTATTTCTGAGGTTCCGTACATCTACTTCTACAAGAGATTGAAATCCACAAGGAACAACCAAAGTTTATTAAAGCCGTCAGTGGGATTCAAATAAAGGGTAGCACATTCTAAATTTCTTATCCAGAGGAATCCAGCTAGTACCATCTCAATAAGAGATGATGAGGGTGTTGATACTAGTTCATCTATTCCATGTGTTAATTTTTTTCCATTCACTAAACGATGAGGCCATTATCAAATCTTCTTGATTTTTGCATGGGAAATCTGAACACGTTATATGCATCCGTGTTTCTACTTAAAAGGATCATTATTCTTGTTGTCTTGTTTCTTTAACATTTAAATTAAACAAGATCGCAATAGTCTGCAGCTTGTTACTTCCTATTTCTCTTTTTTGTTGTTGATTCTAATCTTGTGGCATCAATAACTCTACTTTCCTCTTAATATTAACTCAATTTCTATGTAATATAGCATCATCTTAAACAAGATATTTCATTTTAAAGAAGGCAGATGGAAGTAATAGCCAGAAAGAATTCTAGGTTACTCCCTCCCCCCCTCCCTTCCCACACACACACACACAAAGTAGCCATTGCATATTTGCATTACACTGCCAAACATACTGATTCTGGTCTTTTTGAATCTCGAGTGGTTTAGGGCCTTAGCAGTTTCCTGCAGTCTTTCCACCCTCCTACTACAGCTACTCGGGATTTCATATACGCTTCGGCATCAACACCAGCACCATCACCCTCACATGCTCGGGGAGCTAGTGTGCCTGGTTCCACAAGTGCAGTTTTACCACCTCTAGGTTCATTTCCAGGTAGCGGACCTGCTACAAGCACTGTTGGGATTGCTCATGTGGATGATACTCTGCTTATTACAAGAATATCATATGCTTGTTGATTGCTCATGTGGATGAAATGAGCAAAGAAATACTTGTTGATTTAATGAATGAAAAGAAATGTTTGCTCATTTGACAAATGAGCAACTAACTATTTGCTCATTTGACAAATGAGCAACTAACTATTTGCTCATTTGTTAAATTAGCCACTAAGTATTTGCTCACTTGACAAATGAGAAACTAACTATTTGCTCATTTGACAAATGAGCAACTAACTATTTGCTCATTTGCTAAATGAGTAAAAAATTGATTGCTCATTTCCCAAATGATCAAAAATTAGATTGTTCATTTCCCAAATGATCAAATAAATGTTTGCTTATTTTACAAATGAGTAACTAATTATTTGCTTATTTGACAAATGAGAAAACTAATGGTTGCTCATTTCACAAATGAGCAAAGAAATGCTTGTTGATTTAATGAATGATTAAAGAAATGTTTGCTCATTTGACAAATGAGCAACAAACTATTTGCTCATTTTACAAATGAGAAATTAAGTTTTTGCTCTTTTGTTAAATTAGCAATTAACTATTTGCTCATTTGCTAAATGAGCAAAAAAATCGATTGCTCATTTTCCAGATGATCAAAGAAATGTTTGCTTATTTTACAAATGAGTAACTAATTATTTGCTTATTTGACAAATGAGCAAACTAATGGTTGCTCATTTCACAAATGAGTAAACTACACTCAATTAGCATGTAGAGTAGTGTGAAAATGCAGAGTTTGAAAATTTTGAGTAGTTAATGAAATTTATTTCTTTTGGCTATTGGGAAAACAATACAAAGACACCCACTATTACAGGTTATAAAATTGCAAAACAATTCTTTGCTTAGTTATCAAATGAGCAAACTATTTAATGCTCATTTGTCAAATGAACAGATAATTTTGGCTCATTTTGTCAAAAATTAATATTTATTCTTTACTAATTTGTCAAAAATGAGCAAATAATTTGTCAAAATGAGCAACTAATTTTTTGCTCATTTGTCAAATGAGCAATTATTTTTTGCTCATTTGTCAAATGGCAAAAAAATTCAATGCTCATTTGTCAAATGAGCAAATGATTCTTGCTCATTTTGTCAAATTAATGCTCATTTGTGAGTGTGTTTGAATGTTTTAAATATGTTAGCCTACTAGCTCAAGGGTAGAGCATTGTGCAAATGCACAAAAGATGTTGGTTCGAATCCCACGTAGGTTCATTTATGTAATGTGGAGACACAAGTTTATGAGAGTTTAATTGTAACAAAGTTTATATAGTTATAAATCATTTCAAACCATTTTTTTGCTCATATAATTTAGTATGAATTTAATTTTTTTTTTAATTAATTTTGTTTATAGAGATAACCTATGTAGGAATTGAACCTACATCCCCTATGCATTTGCATAGTGCTCTACCAATTGAGCTAATAGGTTTATCATATGTTTTAAATCATTTTCTATGTATAAATTTTTAATCCGCTCATTTGATAAATCAACAAAGAATTGTTTGCTCATTTGATAAAATAAACAAAGAATTGTTGCTTATTTTGATAGCATAAAATAAAAGACTACTTAAAGGGATTGTATAACTAGTAAAATCAAGAATATTCGATGTATCAGACAATACCAAGCAAACATAAGTAATATATTGCTGCAGAAAATATAGGAGTTCAAACATTGTGACTTGTGAGATCATGTAGTAGCACCACAGTAAATCTCTTCAGAGACCACATCAAAATCCAACCACAAAGTTGATAAGCAGGATGTCCAAGAACCAAGCCATTCCTAACAGTTTGACCTTCGCTCATCTCATATGTTTTATAACTACACATGTTGTTCTGCTTGAAATCCATGTGCTCACCTATATCATACAGAAGAAATGAAATGCAACTCTCAAAATGCACCATGGTCTAGCTCCAAAAAAAAAAAAAAAAAAAAAAAAAGGTTTCTTTCCAACATGATTTAGTTAATACACTAGAAAATGCATACATCAAGCATGAAACTGAGAGGTAAATAATTTCATTCTTTCCCTTTAGAAGATGTAGTTAAAGCAGAAATAACCTGAGCTTTGAGTTTAATAAGTAAATTATCAACAGCTGAGTTAGTGTATGATGTAAGCAAAATAGATGTTCCTCTCATCAACAAAGCCTTGACAGCATATACCATAGTGGATGTTTTTATCAGTCCCCGACATTCCCAGAATAAGAGCGTAATCTTTCACTGTAAGAATTTGCATAAAGAACTAGGTTAACTACTGTTACTAGAAAATACCAACCAGAACATTAAATAGGCCAGTGCGTCTGAAAACAAATTGGGGGGGGGGTCTGAATGGATTCATCAAAAATACTTTCACCTTGATGATTGCTCTGCGCTGATCAGCATTTAAATTTTTCTCAGACCAAATGTAGGATATAGCAGGATCTTGGCTAAGTACAGACCCACTGTCGAATCTAGGAGCCTAGAGAACAGCATTGTAGAATTAAAACACAGATTAATCAGTACCAAACGGAGAAGCCGAAAATGGAAGTAAGACCTACCTAGATCCACAATTAGCTTCCTCAAACGGTCACTTTGTGAACTTAGCAGAAAGAGCTGTACCAAATTGAACCTTAGGGGGGAAAACACTCAGTCAAGTGTAATTGTACAAACTAACCAGTTTTTTTGACAGAACTTTAAAAAGTAAGCCATAATTACTCAAAAGTAATGATAATAATCGTTCATTAGAATGCCAAAATATATGTTTATCTCTAGTTTAAAATTCTACTAGACTACACAATTATTTCAATGCTACTTTAATTTATCAACAAAACTATGGATGCTCTGAAATTTTTTTACATCAATAATATAGCTCGTTGTCAATCAAGTGGAAAGAATGAATACAAAATAATACATTACTCAAAACTAAAAAATGTGAAACCCAAATTTCTGTAATCAAAATCGCACAATCTTGATTAAAATTTGAATTAAATTATAGACAACAATGAAAATCAAAATCAAATTAACTTATAGTGCCTTAAGTATACAAGAACAACAAAGGATGATGAAAATTTTGTGATGTTTCAAATTTTCCCAATCGTAAATCGCATAACCAGATTTTGGCAAAAAACCTAATTTTCGAAATCAAAATCGCAAAAACATGTTTCAAAGTCGATCAAATTCAAAATTAAACTGAAATTTACATACTTTAACAGATTATCGCGAGAAATTGATGAGCAAAAGCAAAGAAATTGATGAAGAGCGAAGAAATGGAAGAGCGTAGAAAAACCTGGAGGAAGAGAGAGGAAATCTAAAGAGAGAGAAAATCTCAGCGGTTGGATTTGATCTAATTTAGCGGCTGAGATTTGTCCTCACATAAGGTAGTAGTTCTCACATAAAGGGTGGTTCTCACCGGATCCCGACCCTATCTATATATATATATATATATATATATATATATATATATATATATATATATATATATATATATATATATATATATATTTGTATCAAAATTTGAAAGCAAAGCCTAATTTTTTGGTGTATTGAAAGCCAAAAGAGCAAATGTTATAGACGTAAGTTGATCCCGAGTCTTGAGTACCACCCTTAATACTTTAACTAACTAAGCTAGTTGATCATCTACAGAACAAAGCCTAATTAGATATGATAGTTACTGTACTCGCTACGTACTGCCTAATTTTCATCAGCTTTGCACTGGCTAATCTTCCTTTCAATTTCAGCTAGTAAGCATGTATAATTGGATGGTTTTTTCAAGAGAGAAAAATAAAGAAACTAAATTAGATATCCAAGTTGTTGATGAGGCAAACACTACACAAACTAGATTAGGATCTAATATTTCGTCACATTCTACTTGTTACCTTTAATAAAAATTTATATGCAACAGGTAAAAAGGTCTGACTATATACATGCGAGTCAGTTGCGATATAGATGAACCCTTCAGTATCATCATATAAAACAGCTAATGAGCCAAAAAAAAAAAAAAAAAAAAAAAAAAAAAAAAAAAAAAAAAAAAAAAAATCCCTATTCAGCCTACTTCTGAAGGAGCAAAAAATGTTCTACCTGAAAGATACAGTGTTACATTTGTTTAATCTTTTGAAAATATCATATACATAAATACAAACTAAATTATATGCACCTTAATCACCTAGGATAGAAAGGGGTTGTCTGATACTAAGCTCAGCTTTAAGCTCAGGGTATTGCTCCAGATTATGAGAGGCGCTTAATATTTTCTGCACAATGGAAATGGGGAACTGCGTTAGATACTGCAATCAAGCTAAAGAACTGAGCAGGAGAACGAATCAGTCTATTTGCATATATTATGTACAGTAAGTAGTATGTAAATTGTAGTAGTAGTATGTGTCATCTTTGTATAAAAATTTAAGTCACAAAAAAAATTTAATGCATCACAAATATGTTTGTTGTAAACAAATGTAGCTGGCAGCTAATCTGTTTAAGACATGCAGAATCTAATACAAAGTAGTAATAAGAGTGAGGAGACGGATAAGAATGAGAGGAGACAGATAAGGAGACATGGATGCAAACAACATAAAATAGGTCAGAATTTGAAGAGAGAAAATGATGAGAAACATGTACCAGAGCAGCAACGTGAGCGTCTTGAATTATAGATCCATCAATTTCCAGTCTAGTAATCGGAAAATCAGGAAGATGTCCTGACTGCTTCTTTCCAAGCAAGTCCCCAGGTCCACGTAGAAAAAGGTCAACTTTTGCCAGGTGAAATCCATCTGCCGACTGCTCCAACACCATCAAGCGACTCAAACTACTTGCAGCTGATGCAACAAGTACACATGTGGATTTCCTAGCACCACGTCCAACTCGACCTCGAAGTTGGTGCAACTGTGCCATTCCAAATCTTTCAGCATTCATGACGACCATCATGGATGCATCTGGCACATCAATCCCTGTCTCTATAACTTGAGTAGAAAGTAGAATCTGTGTTTCTCCATCTCTGAAACATCTTAATGCTTTATCCTTTTCATCACACTTCATTCTTCCATGCAGTAACCCACAGCTATAATTAGGGAATTGGGAACATATAGTGTCAAATTCTCCTGAAGCAGCTCGAAGTTGCGGAAGGTTCTCAGACTGCTCAATGATTGGGTATACAACATAAACTTTTCCTCCTCCTTCCAGTTCACGGTGCATCATCTACTTGCAGAGAAAATAATAAATTATCTCAAATATGAAGCTTTTACATCCAACTTGGGTTGAAATAAAAGTAAAAAGGTTACAGGTTTACAGTTGATCATGCCATTTAACATTTCTAACCCATACATGTGCCTCTTATCAGTGGAAAGCCCACTGGCATAGCAACTGATTATATAAATGCTACTCTGTCGCACAATAGGAGTTATTTCAGAGTGAGTTTTAAAAGAGGACAAGGAGAACATAATCAAAATAGGGGTTTCGCTTCCTTGGTAAAAAGGGGGTTATTACCATGATTGGTTAGGAAGAACGATAAAGGGGAAAGGAAGAATGTAGGTATTAACAATAAGTGACTGCATAAGACTTGTCACAAGTAAAAAGGTTGCAAGTAAATTTCAAAAAATTGACAAACAAATAAAATCAACTAAAGAGTACCATGCAAAAATTTCCAAAAAAAAATAAATAAATAAAGGTATACACAACAAGTTCTGATGTATTCCTGACAACCACTAGTAATTTACTCAAAAGCATATCACACCAATCTACATTAATGTGCAGAACTGCAGACTTGCTACTCTTGAGAAAAATCAGTGCCTCAAGGGTCCTCAACATTCAGACTTTTTGATTTGTCAAGAATACTAATAGATTCACAATCCAATCTTTAGATAAAGTAGTGTTCCCACATCCTATACAATATCAGTATGCTTCTATGATGTGAATAACATTATCTTTAAATTGCTTTCTTATTAGGAATCAATGTATTTTTGCTTCACGTCTAAACTGGGTATTACAATGTGGGTTTTCATTATAGTATCATAAGGGCATTAAAGCTTTAAAGCTTAATTTAGTCATTTGGGATTTTAATAAAGGGCTGAAGTCCAACTTGTTGGATTTGGATGCAAGTAGTAATCTGGCTTGGGCAATAAAGTCAGCTTATGAGAGGTTCTCTTGGGTGTTACGGTGTAAGTTTACCTTAGTTGTGCGTATACTTGGTGCCCTAGGCTGCAATCCATGCCACAAGTTATTAGATGTTTCTTACCTAATTTGGTTTCCTGATTCTAGTATTCTACTAGGCTTGCTGATCTAAGGAGGTTGTAACGGAGTTTCACAAACCATTAGGATACAATACACATTTTTTGTAAGCTTAATTATTAAAAGCTGACAAGGCTCGTTTGGCAATACTGTGGTTTTCTATTTTTGGTTTTTTGTTTTTCAAAATCATATGATATATGTCATATAATGAATCAAAAATTAGTCACACTTATTAAAATCATGATAATTTTGAAAACTGACAACAAAAAAGTGGAAACACCTTTTTTTTGTTTCCTGTTTTTGGTTTTTTGTTTTCAAAAAAGCAGAAAACTAAAAACCAAAAACAATGTCAAACAAGCTCTAAATTTTTAGTTTTTTACTTAACAATATTCAAAAGTTGTTGGTAAAATTGTGATTTTTGAGCATAAACTGGTTAGGCTAACCCTAATTACAAGACTTTGAGTGCATCTTGATCCAGACATTCAAGAGAACCTCAAACCAAGATTTTGCAATCTATTCTACATATACTATTCACCAAGAGTAACTGATTAGATTTGTTCCATCTATTTACCTCAGTTTACAGTTCATAAATACTATAAACTATCACTCCAAACCTTTTCATACTTTTTTTTTTACTTCTATTCTAATTCGATTGGCACACTTCCTTTCATGTCATGAACCCATCCAATATAAATTCTCTATTCCCACAACCCAAAGTTAAGATCCCACATCATCTCTCATTCAATTAAATGATTCATCTACCATCTCACATACATTTCTTTAGTCACGTTTGCCAATGCACAAATTCAACCATTAACATCTTTAACTATCGATAAGCAAAAATATAAAAAGTTGATATTTTGAAAATATATATCGTGACGAATCTAACAAGATCCCACATGATTATATTTTTCATTACGTATAAATCACAAAACACGGTCAAAGGGAAATGTATGTATAATGCTAAAGTCAAAACGTGTAAACTAAAAAAAACGGAGGTGGTATGAGATAAGATAATCACATATAACACTGTGCAAAGCTTAGGATGACAATGATATAGGGGAATTATTAGAAGTTAATTAATTTGTTAAGCTTTGATTAAGTTCTGGCGGGAAAAGTAGTTATGAACTAATTTGTCCTTTTCTAGTTTGTTACGGTTGTTAGGGGAATAATTTGTGTGGCTGTAATGAAGCTTAGCTAGCTACTTAGTTTGTTTTAAGGGATTCTTCATTCATTAATGATGATTACAACAACTTTTCTCTCTATCCTCTCTTTCTCCCTCTAAATTTTCTCTATTCTTCTTCATACCTTCTATTTTCTGCAATTTCTGGGTAAATATTCTCCCCCTTATCAGACAATTTATCTGGGATAAATGGAGTAATATTGACGAATCTAAAAAAAGGCAATGCAAAAGGAAGACAAGATGTTATCACAACAACCCAAAAATAAATAAAATATTTTTGTTCTAATCCCTTTCCCCTTTGGTGTGCTTGAATTTTCATCCTATGTGTCACCCTAGTTATTAAACCTATATTCCAAGGGTAAAACAGTAAAAACTGTTCCAACTAAAAAAAAAAAAAAACACTAAAACAACTTTCATATAAAATTCCTTTGTATCTCCCCTAGAGCCTGTGGGGAAGCCCCAATTAAAGATTCTAGCAAAGTCTCTTAATTATATAGCAATTTTCCTAGACTCGACATTTTCTTTCTTGTGAATTTCAAGAAGATTCGCCAACATAAAAGATTAAATCCATATCACTATTTGTCCCAATCCCTAATTTTAAGACTAATCTCATTTATCTTGCAAATAGGATCCCAAAATATTTAAGTCTCTGTAGTAGTTCATGTTAAAAAAAAAAAAAAATAAATAAAAAAAAAATAAAAAAAAAAAAAAATATATATATATATATATATATATAAATTACAAGAAATGTAAACACGAAAATTGGTTATAACAAAAACAGACGTAGGTACAGACCTACCACATGCAATGAAATCCATAGTTTGGATAAGTCTATAAAAACTATAAACACAACCACCACCTTACATCTACATAACAACATATAGATCTTGACTCGTGCACCGGTTAGAACATAAAGCTAAAATTACATAATTACAAAAGAGAGAATATACCTTGTAAACCGTATCAATACCTTTCTTGTCTCCTTCAACAATACGTGTCTCAATAGGTAATCTTCCAGGAGGCATACCTGTTATCTGCCATGAAAAAGTAAGAAGCTACACTAAAAGGCTTTATTCTAAAGCATTTACATGTAAATTGGAAGATAAACTTCCATAATCTGAGTACAAAGAAATTCTATATTGTTATGCTTGGAGTTGGGACCAACAGAAGAAAAATTAAAACCAGCTGAGTATATCCATTTGAAGATTACTGCATGCAGAAACAATAAGTTTCCCAGTAAATTAACTTAAAACACCGTACGAAATGTGGATTGACAGGCCTGACCTCACTAGCTCCTTTATTTTCAAATCATTGTTTCCTATATGACTATATCTAGATCTCCAATAACCATAATATGAGAAGATAATAATTTTTTTTCTCTCAACCCTAACCTAGAAAGGAAAGAAGAGAAGAAAGGAAAAGGGAGAAGGCAAAAAGAGCCTATTGCAGGACAGATACTACCTTTGCATTTGTCATGTAAGTGAAGCTGGAGAGTAGAAGAGGGGCAGGGGAAGAAGACAAGCAGAACGTTTAAAGAGATGACAAATTGTTGTTAGAGCCTTAAGAGTAGTAAAACAGGTAGAGGATATTCGGCATATTCCTTTTTTTTTCAGTTCCATTACAAGTTAATGGGTGGTTAGAGAAGCCTTTCAAGGAGGATGAAGTATATAAAAGAGATCATAATGGAAAGATAAAATGTCAAGACATAAGGTTTCTATTGTTGTCGAACATAAGTTTAGGTGTGTCGTGACAACATTTTGTTTCAATGTGGCCTTTTTTCAAGAGTGTTAGAATCTGATCAAGAGTGATTTGATGGCTTTCTTGGAAGAGTTCTATGATAATGAGATTCTAGAAAGAGCATGATTTCAAATTTCATTGACTGTAAACCTAAAAAGGGTAGGTCTATAAAGGTTAGGGGATTTCCAGACAATAATTTGTTGAACGAAGTCCTTTCCCATTACTGTTTCTCACTCCTAATGTGCTTTTGTGTTAAGGAAGTAAAATTTTGGATGGAGTATCTTAGTGGCCTATGAAGCTGTGGATGAAGCTTGCCAAAAATCCCTTAATGGGGCGGTCATCAAACTAGATTTTGAGAAGTGCATGACAAGGTGAGTCGTAATTTCTTGATAAGACCCTTTAGAGAAAGGGGTGTATGGTTGAGATGGTGGATAAAAGGGATTAATAAATTCTTTTCAGGTCAAAGGTACCCCTAAGGAATTGTTCTCTTCTTCTAGAAGGTTGTGTCAGGGAGATTCATTTGCACCTTTTCTTTTTACTTTGGTGGTTAATGGTCTCATGAGACTACTCTAGTTTTGGGAGATATGCTTAAAGGATCTAGGTTGGAATGATAAAAGGCTAAGGTATCTAAACCAATAATTATTTATTATACTATTTTAATTCTAAAAGTTGGGTTGGACGATTTCAAGAAAATGCTTAATGTACTTCTGATATTTGAGATGATATCTGGAGAATCAATATTATAATTTTTTTTTTAATCACAACGTTTGACATTTTACAATATTCACACACACTCCTTTGATCGTCTTTTGTGACTTATATGTTGGAAAAAATATAATCAAGCAGGATTTTGTTAGATTTGTCTCAAAATACACTTTCCTAATATCAACTTTTTATAGTTTTTAATACAATACATACAACTTAAGATATTTTTAAGTTATAAAATGTGTATTGGCAAACGTGAAATCCCCAACGTTGTGATTAAAAAAAAAAACGGTGAAGGTAAATAGTAGAGATTAATCATAATTCTTCAAAGAGTTGTACAACTATGTAGAATGTTGGTTGGCTGAATTATGTAGGTTTGCCTGCTAGTGCAACACGCAGTTACAATGGTTAAGGGAAAATACAAACCGATAATTTCAAAATTTTCAAAAAGGTTAGATGGGTGGAAGATAAAATAATACACTATCTAATCTTATTTGCCCAACATTCCCCTCTATTATCTACATTTGTTCAAAATCCTAGTTGCAATTGTAGATAGGATTAAAAAAAAAAAGGATCTTCTAGTAAGTGATTAGAGAGGAGTTTAGATTTTGGGAGAGTGATCTTTATAAATGTTGCTCTAGTGGGAAAGCGGTAGTGGAGGCTCCCTCTTGAACACCAGTCTCTTTAGTATAATGCCATGAGAAAGTACAATTATTTCCCAATGGGTGAAATGCAAAGAATGTGTGAAATTGTATCTCATGAGATTCCTCTTTAGTCACTTCATTAGTGAAGTTCAAAAAAGGGTTAGAAGTTGGAATTAGAAAGATTTTTAGATTGGAGGGCAACTACTTGGTATCTAATACCAGTCCACTGCTGGAAAATTATTGTAACAATGCATGACACTTACAATTTAGGAGACCACCCCATAACCAAGAGACATATTAGTTAGCTTCTATGTATGAACAGACCTATTTAACAGGTTACCGGTCACTTGGGACCAATAAAAGCGAATACGCCCCAAAGTTCAGCTTATTTAAAAATAATGTAAAGTAGGGATTATTTAAAGCGAATACGCGAAAGTTGGGATTAGTTTTTTCAATTTTCCCTTTAAAATTTGGAAGGCAATGGTTCCCTCTTCAAGTGACAACAATTGTGTGGATATTAACATAAGATGACTTAACACAAATACTAAACTCTAAAAAAGGAGGCCACATGCTTGATTTGACAAGCTAATGGTGAATATTGTTAACATGTCATCAAATGATGTAAAAATGGCTTGTTTTCCTTGGACAAAAGTCTTAACACTGAATGAAGAGGCCTGGATTTGATTACCGGATTGTTCAGATTCTCTAAAAAGATGCGTTAGCAAAATCACTATATTTCTTCTACTCATTGTCCAGCGTGATATATTGTGGGATAAAGTAGCTTTGTTAGCATCGTTTGGGACTAAGGTGGCTAGCCTTTCAACTATTAATTTATCGGGAAGGTACAAGTGAATTGGGCTAACGTAGGGTGCATTCTATTTACCTGATTTTTACTTATTTAAATTTATTTGGCATAAAATGTGCAAATAGAAAGTGCAATGCATGCATTGAAAGCAATGATTTGAACAATCACAATTACTAGTGTCCCTTTTATGATGCAATTAATAAGTAGAATGAGATGGCAGCCAGACACACACACACACACACACACACACGCATGCGCACACACACATAAACGGAAACAAAACAAAGTCCAGATACCTGTGTTAGGGACACATCTCCATAGAGAACAAAGGCAAGACTCCTTGGAATTGGGGTAGCCGACATTGCAAGAATATGAGGTGCCATCTGGATCTCACTTTTCTGGGTACCACCAAAAGCCACTGAGCCAATTCCAGACATGGTAGATGCAGAGCATAACTGCAAGTTTATAACAGTCACAATCAATCAAAACAATTGGACATTGGCCCAATGTGTGTACAAAAGAATCTATGCCCTTGATGACAGCACATCCAATAGAAAACAAATTGCAACTATGCATTGACTATTCATATATATTCAGTATTCCAATCCATTCCAATGCCTAAAAATGCATCAAGCACATTATTACGGCATTACCACAGGTGTCAGAATCTGAATTTTTTAAAAACATGAATATCATGATAAATTGGATGTATTATAGTCTTTTTTTTAAATGAAAAAAATTACAGTTCCTACATATGGAGTAAATCAAAATGAGAAAATTAGGAGAGGTATCGAAGGAGATATTATAATTTGTAATTTTTGTAATCCAGTTTAGAGGGTGTGAACAAAAAACTTTGCATGATTTCGGAATATGCCTTCACTCCCATCAGAGAATATCATGAGGAAGCTAAGGTCGCAGCTACATAATTTCCTGTAGGTTTAAAGCATCGCAGAATCTAGCTAATCTTTGTCAGTCCGTACACACGAAGATGGAACTAGAAATGATAGGCTGATGTCTTATGGCCAAAATTTGATATACAGGAGATAATGCAGCTCTTTGAGGATGGGTGGGGGAAAGGTGCTTAGAAATTCTTAGAAGTACTCTCAGTAGCAGCAGGTCTAATTTCAATTCAGAATAGTGGTTCTATTGATCTGACTACACTCTACAGGTCTGCAGAAACAAAGCGAGCTAGATAAAGCGTGACTGAGACCTGCCTTACTCAGTAGAATGTAATTTGGACCTCAAGTACATACGTAACAACAACCTACTAAAGCATTCAGGTGCTGAGCGCAACACTCAGTAGAGACCTGGGCTTAATTAAAAGAAGTATATTTGGAGAGAGATTTTATGTCAGTCATTTATTTGTAATTAGTGATATTTATTCAAGGTTTTATGACCCTAACCACCCTTGCAGCCTTACATACATCACAATAACTCCAACATTCCAAGTGATCCAATATATGCACCTTTTGCATTTTGGTTCTGATTTTGTGAATGAATTCTTAAATTCAATTTTTCAGACATGAAAGCTGGCAACTTCCATCCAACAAAGGAACAAGCAGTTGATTGGTTTTTGTCATATATTATCTGAGCTTCTGACCAACTGTATTTGGTTTCTCCTTTATAGATACATAATAACATCCTAGCTTTTGGATTTTATCGAGGCTTTATAAATAGGACTTTTACAAATTAAAAAAAAAAAATAAAAATTTAGTTTCAGACTTAAATAATTTCTGAATGAATTCTAATTTAGCAACATCAATAATAAGAGGAGATTATTGTGGCAAAATCAGATGTAAGATTGAAGATTATTGATGAAAACTTTAACCAATCCTAGCTCTTAAGATCAGGATGGATTAAGCAAAGCTCATGATATATTAGTTTATATAATAAGCCAAGTCTTGCTTCTAAAGGCTTCTTCAAAGGTAATGCAGGACCACTTGTAGGTTCTAACTTGACTTGCAACACCAACATTTTCAGCTACACCATTTTAAGCTACAATACTCTCTAGCAGTGAGATACGAATACAACACATGCAGCTTGAAATCTTGAATAACCCATATGTTAATAAATAGTCTACGTCATGTTTTGCTTCTTTCCTTGAGGCAAGCAAGGAAGCTTGCTCTGGCGATAGTTTAATGCAGCTACACACTTTGATGGACAAGCAAATTCTACCATCTAGCTGACGATTTTCTAGATACAACAGGATTCCACCATTGGAGTTGCCATAAGAGACACTGAGGGTGACATTTATTCATTAATTTTGTTTGTGTATTGATTTGTGTCGTGCCTTGCTTGTTTACCCCTCGATTCAGCTGTTTAAAAAAGATTAAGGGTTTCTTAACCTTTTTTTTTAAAAAAATTTGTTGTGTCTTGCTTCTATTCTTCCATTTAGTGTCCACTTCAAGTATACAAGCTCTGGATCAAAGACCAAATCCAAGAAAGGATATTGTTTGAATGGGCAGATTTCTGCATCACATTGCTTCACTTGATAGATTATAACAAAAAGAAGAGATATGGCATTTGAGGTATGGATAACAAAAGGAAGAAGGAATCCATATTATTTGAGGTGAATTCTAAAAAATCTCTCACAAAAAGCAACAAAAAGAAGAGAGAATCCTTATGAGGGAGGATTACATGACCAAACATAAGAATTAAGAAGAAATTCCAATAATGTGCTATATCTACTACAAAGATGTACGAAAGACTCATAATCAGGAGCTAGCAGAAATACTAAGAAAGCTAACTCTGTGCTTGACTAGACACCCAACAATAGCAACAAAATCATAGCCATTTTCTGCATACCCCAAGAATTCATCACTCTTGGTATCCACCAAGATCCATTTTCTCAATTCATTTCTATCTAGTGCTACAACCTCCTGCAACCCACTTTCTCCATGTCATTCTTAACTTCCTTTTATCCAAGTTACCTTTGGCATCCATTGACTACTTTTTTTCTCTTACTTTCCAAACATTTCTTTGATTTTGATGAGAAATGTGAACTGCAACTATTGATTCAGAACAAAGGGAGTAATTCTTACAAGCCAAACTGCCTAACCCATACAGAAGCTAATTAAGTTATTCTTCCTCAAACCAAGACACATGGTATAGAGGATACCAAATTGCCAAGAATATATGAAATCATCCATTCCATGAATTATGCCAAATCGATAAAACACAATGATATAAAAGCAGTTAAAGTTTTACAAGTTTGGACATAAAAACAAATACTCAACCTTACTATTGAACCTTCCTCTCTGAATTACGCCAAATCGATGTTGCTCATCTATCACCGCAAGTCGCAATGCCAAAAACTCTACACTTTCAGCTATCAAACTATGGGTTCCGATGACCAAAGAGATAGTCCCTGCTTGGAGTTCCTGCAAGAAACTAGTGAGGACAGTGGCAAGTCATAATAGATAAATCAAGATTTAGCTTAATGTCAAACAGTACATTGCGTATCATCCGTGCTTGTTTAACTGAAGTTGAACCCGTCAAAAGAGCAACGGAAGGTTTACGATCAGACTCCATTTTCTCTAATAAATTAGATATATCATCATAATGCTGGATAGCGAGCAACTCAGTTGGAACCATGTAAGCTGCCTAAACAATAAGATTAAATGAAGTCATTCATCTAGCCAAATGAAAACTAGATGTCACGAGATGGGCACAAAAAAACTTGTCAAACATATAGGCACACTTAAATGCATTACAATGGGTATAATGCAGCCACATGTTCCCTTATGTATTTCATGATGATAACCCACAGCACGACAAGTGTTTTCTTGTCAACTTATTTTGACTTATCTAATTTTAAACTAAATAAGCTTACATAAAATAAGTTCAGTTATGATAAGTTCAGATAATATAAGTTTAGATAAAATACATTCAAACAAAATAAGATCTAATAAGTTCAAACATAATCACAACTACAGACAAAATAAATAAAGATAAGTTTCGATATATCAAAAGAAGTTGAAGAGAGCACAGTTGGCGTATAACACACTAACCTGATATCCTGAACCAATGACTTCCATGCATGCCAAAAATGCAACAACTGTTTTTCCACAGCCCACGTCACCCTGAAACAAGTGAAGTATATAGAAGATCATTAAACCTTTCCTGTTTCTTGATTGGAGAGGGGGGATGGTGTAAGGAAAAACCGCCTTAAGAAAAGAGAACAGAAATAGAGACCATAGAAAGATAGAAGTGATGGGAAGGACAAAGCAAGTTCATTGGCTGGTCATAGTACAATCGGATAAAACAGGGATCAATCAGATACAATTCTTTAGAACACACAGAACTACTAAAGATATAAAGGAGAACCTACTTGGCAACTAGTTGCAAACTCCAGTATCAAATGACAAGGATCAAGATTCAAGAGTATAGCAATACACAAAGTTTTACTCGGTTACTCTAAAACTCAACACTTTCAAGCCCATAGCCACAACTTGCAGATCTGCAGAGTGCAGACTTCACAACATCAAACAGAATCAAACAACAAACATGGGATATGTTATGTTGAACACCAGCAAAACAATCCTCTCTCAGAAGAAGCAACATCCAAACAATTAATAACATGGCTAGGAATGACATGCTCTACAAGTAGTTGACGGTCATTAAGGTGACATTATATCATACATACACTCAATCTTGAACTGAGTAAATGATCCAGACACTAACTCATTTCATATAATTCCACTACCACAACTTCTGCTTGTCTCCTCCACTTTATTATCTGCTTTGAAAATGTCCCTAAAAATGATTTCCATCATACTAGTTCCACAAGATTGAGCACATAGAGACTTATGATGGATATGAGTTCCTTCCTCTAGACCACCACTAACCAGCATCCATCACTACACCATATCAAAGTTAAGATGCCAAATTATTGAATACTTTGTTTGACCAATAATCTACACCATATCAGTTGACATCTATTTTCATATGTCTAGTCACCAACTCACCAATCATATTCTGTTACCAATGGGTTTTAAGTCTAACTGCCATCAAATACAAGTCCTCAACACCTAGAATAAGTTATCTTTGACTGGTTGTCATATATTAGCATTAAAAATACACCCAGACCCAGCAAGAGTATATAAGATCTTCTGCTTGTCCGTTATTAACAATTCAAAACGTACAGATAAGTTGTCGCAATCCTAATAAACATGACCCAGCTTACTTAAAATGCCTCTATATTCTTATGCTATCACCTCTGTATGAGACAATTAGCAAATAAAATTAAAAATAAAATAAAAAAAAGGCCTTTCTTATATACTGCCTTGGGGCTTACCAGTCAAAGAAAATACCATCAGTTAGAAAAGAAGAATGTTCCAAATATCTCAATTTAACTGCATGAAATCTTGACCAAGAACTTCAAACCTTCTAAAAGCTGCTCAATTTCGATAATGAGAACAAGAGTTTTGCAACACCCTAAACAAACTTCATAATTTAAATAGTGATAAAAATAATTCTAATCATCTCATAACAAGCATAAAACCATATTAGGCATCCCATGGCTAATTCTAGTTACCTAGGGGGATAGGGAAAGGAATTTCCACCATTTGGAAGGTAATAGAAAAATTCCCACACACTAAACACTTTTCATGGTATTGTCATCAAAACAACTGCATAAATTTCTACTTCCAGGAAGTTGATAATGATCATGATTCACCCTAAAATCCACCTGTGACAAAAAAGAGCTTCCAATAGGGCATCAGTTTGTCATGAGAGGATAATCACCACTTTATGGAACTCTAGAATTTATCAAGTCAATTTATAAACATAAAGTGCTTCAAAAATATTACTAGCAAGTCCACTTCGCATGCTCAGAACATACCAGCAAATTGATCCCAAATTCAAACCAAGGTTTTAAATCTCAAACGTCAATTCAATCCTGATAATGGCCACGCATACTGCTTTCACAGGCAATGCAGATGATTTGCGAATTTGTAGCCTAATATCAAGGAATCAATAAGCTCAAAAACCTTAACATTGAGGTCACTACACGGTGGTATGGCAAGATATAATACCCTGCTCCTAACAAAAAGTAACAAACCACTAACTACGCTCCCACTACGACAAAGATAAAAAGCTTGAATACTGAAGACAGTTATAAAAAAGTGCAAACTGAAAGAGAATGCAATGCAACACCTGCAACAGCCGATTCATGGGAACTGCTTGCTTTAGGTCCCAAATAATCTCCGACACTGCACTTAGTTGACTTTTAGTTAGAGAATATGGAAGTGCTTCTATATAACTCTTAGTGATGTCACACCACTCCTCAGAAAAAATAGAACTTTGCTCTATATTTCTGTATTTTTCAAGCAATCCTTCCTTCTCTATTCTTGATCCAAGACCTTCAAGCAATTGGTACATTCGTCCCAGCTGAAATGAAAGATGAATAAAAGTAAGCCAGCCTTTCATGTCTTAATATTCTATGAATGCATGTAGATAACAAATAGTTAAGTCATGAAACAAACAAGAAAAAAAATATGTCCAAAGCCATCCCATTTTTATTAAAGGCCAAGGTAGTGAACCAAAACAATCTTCTAAAATAATAAACTAAAGTGTAAAGGTAATTGGAATGGCCGTGGGCTGCTAGATACTGTTCATCAGAGGTCATGAGCATCAGGAGTCAAAAAATATAATGTCAACATGCAGGAAATAGCAGTCTACAGTGGCAGAGTGAGGTCCTTAGGAGTGAACAATGAAAGGCAAAATCATTAATCAGAATGGCACTGAGATAGCAGCGCACTAGACATTTTTCATCATCTAACACTGTAAGTGAGCATAAGCCATGACAACACAGTTCACAGTAGCAAAGTGAGACCCTCAGGTGTGAACAAATAAATGCAAAACACATGGATAAACCATCAACCAGAATGACACTAATATAATAACACATTGAGCATCATCATCAAATGATATTGTACATGAGGATCAGCCAGGACTAAATCATCATTGCCATGGTTTTGGCAAAATAAATGCAAAAATGGACCCAAAAAAAAAAAAAAAAAAAAAAAGCATATACAAACTGAGAGCACCTGAAGGTAGAAGAACTCATCAAATATTAACCTTCTGCGTGCAAGATCAGCATCATTTAAATCCTTAGGCTGGTGAATCGCAGTATATGCCTGTATTCGCATTTACAGATTTAGCAGTAAATAACACAGATGCAGAACAGGAACTGTAAATAATAAGATATCCTTGCATTTGAACATTATAGAGAGAGAGCACTTCATGTATGCATTTTCACTTCCACTTTATTTACACATGGGTGCCACCACCATAAGATTATGAATGCAAATGCAAAATAATTCATCCTAGAGAGCAGTTAAGGTAAGGAAATGAGCATGTACTCAAATGATTTTTAGCTTGCCTATCTCAGTACTTCTCTCCTGGATCATCTGAAGCAAAGTCAGGGTACTAGGCCAGGGCTGCATATGTATTTTCCCTGGTAGTTTGGCTTTGAGTATTTCGAGGTGGTTTCATTTACACATCTCCTCCTAGTTACAAGAGTGTCCTGATCAATGAACTTTAAAATGGCTAAATGTATACAGTAAAAGGATACTATTGCACCTTGCATGAATGTCTTTCACTCTTTACACAAGCGAACCATAAAATAGCAATTTTTAAGTTCTGTAAAACATGTACCATGCCACGGAAAAAAAAACATTCAAGGTTCACTATGGCCTCTAATGGTGAATAGAATTATCATTGAAGACCTTCATATACTTTGTATATAAGAAACCTCTTGGTCTGGTAAGTTAATGTAGTCAAGTTACTAATTAATGCTCATAATATTAAGAATAGGTATTCAGAATATTGTATCAAGTTTACTAGAATCAGCCCCACTTTTTCTGAGAGCAAGATAGTAAATGGACCATCCTTCTAATTCTTTTTCATGAGAAAAACGCCTGAGAACTACAGATATAAAGCATACCCAAAGCTACAGACTTTTATTGCGAAGCTACAAATAAGGCCTTCGTCCCCCCCTCCCCTCCAAAATGAAAAATACCAAACAAAAAAGAGTGTATGTCATGTAAAATTTCTTTCTGTTTGTAGTTGTCAAAAAAAATGAGGGAAATATAAAATATTCTAGCCTTCACATTAAAATTAAACAATTCAGCATATGAATATCACAAATGGATGCTAGTAAAACTTAAGCTTTGCTTACATCATGGAGCCCTTGAAGTCCAATGTCTATAGTGATTTCTTGAGGAATAGGATCAATATTTGTAGGCAATGACTGCAAGGCCCTGAATATTCAGAGGGATTTAAACCGTAAGTGCAAAATAAACATAAATATAATAAAACAACTGGGAAAGTGCCACACAAACCATGGTGGGCCGGGCGATAAATTAGTCTATTAGCAGAAGCATGGGATTATTACATTATGATGATGAAACACATTTGGGAGGAAATCTACTATTATAAATTTGGTAGCATAAGAATCACAATTTTGGTTATCCAAATGTAGTAAATTTTAATCAATAAAATAAAAATAAATAAATAATAAAATCAAAAATTGTGTCTCAAATCAAAGTACTACTTATGTGATCATTTTAAGGGATTTGGTGATGGAATTTAGTCACTTGCACTAAAAGCCTACATCAACAATTAACAATTTAACATTACCCAATTCCTATAAAAGAGGCTCCCGCCCTTACAAAGCTAAGGTGGGTTAAATATGCTAATCACTTGGATGTCCACAGCCCTATACAGGCTACACCTACAATAACAAAGGGGATGTTTCCCATAGGCCCTTGATCAAACACAAACAGTTTCATTTGCTATTTTGAGTTAGCCCCAGATACAAAGTCAAAATATAGTGAACTTTAGCTACATTTGAAATGGACGTGATCCCTAGCAGGCTGTAGCTCCCTAGCCCAAATTGAATGATACATACTTCCTCCATTCTTAATTAATTGCAAACAATGCTATTTTTAGAAAGTTTCACAATTTTTGAAACAATTCTACTATAGGATGTGTTCACACTATAAGTTACACCCTTTCTCAACTCACTTATTTACCTCTATTTCTCTCTCTGCAAGCAGTTGTTCCCTAGCACAAATTGAATGATACATATTTCCTCTATTCTTAATTAATTGCAACAATGCTATTTTCGGAAATTTCACAATTTTTGCACCAATTCAATTTTAGGATGTGTTCACACTATAAGTTACACCCTTTCTCAACTCACTTATTTACCTCTATTACTCCTCTTCTATTTCTACTCACAAGGAGTCCATTGGTCCAAAACTCCCCCATTATTTTTATTTTTTTTCTTTTATAAATTTGTGTAACCCCATCCATTTGCTATTGTTGCAATTATTTAAGAACAGAAGAAGTACCATTTTCCCGAATCTATTCACAAATACTATGTGACCTATTATGATCTGAAAGTGAGAATAGCATGATTCAGAGAGTTGCTTTGGCCAAAAAACAACTCTCTGCAGCTCCTACATTAATAGGTCGCTAACAGACGAAAGCACACGGTTTCCAAGATTTCTCAGAATGAACTTTACAAAGCCTAGGGTTAAAAACATTGCTATTAAAATCCCAATTTAAATCTTAGCATCTTACGATTTTACAATTCATGTATGTCACACGATTCGATTTACAATTCTACCCGATTTTACATATTTCTCTTAACTAGCGAAATCCTTACAAGCTTAAAACATATCTATATAGTTATTTATAAATATATATTGTCAATTATTGGTTGTTTAATGGGTAAACAACTATTTTCTATCAATGATTAGGTTTCAAAATCATAATTTAAATATATTTAATTAAATTTGAATATGACGTCTTAATTATGCATGTCGGTAGAATCTTATGATTCTACGATTTGATTCTAAGAGCCCCTTCCGATTCAAAGTATAATCCTGATTTTAACAACTTTGGTTAAAAAGGATTTTTGATTTTCTAGATAAAATTATAGTTAAAGAATCCAGGTAAGGAAAAAAAAAAAACTATAGCGACAAGGTCCATGAAATACTTTGGATAGAAGAAGATTTCATTGATTCAAGGGTTAATACATCAAAACTTAATATGCAACGTGATTGGCATTAGCTCATTAAAGGACTTTTAGTCTCCCATAGAGCCACTCAAGATCACCGCCCTTTCTATCTCAGGTGTACCAGACCGTTCAAAATTTATATTGATTTTCAGTGCTTACCTTCAAAAACTTCCAGCACTTAAAAGCTTATCATAATCCCAACTCTAGAAAACTCAAATCGAAAGTGACAACTAAGGGATATTGGAGTATTTAGCAGCAGTAACAAGGCAGAAAAACAGAAAAACCACTTCTTTTTGTAACATCGGTCAACATGAGCCCACTAGTAGATATTGTCCTCTTTGGGCCTAGCCTGCAAGGATTTGCTTTGGTGCTAGACAAAATTCCTACCCAAAAGACCTCTACTAGTTAAGATATCAACCCTCATACAAGAATGCTTCATTCTCCTCAATTTCCAATGTGGGAGCGCCATAGGGACCTTCTCCCCTCACAACAAGACACCGAAATGGACTCTGATACCATCTTTAACACCAGAAGTCAACATAAGCCTACTAGTAGATGTTGTCCTCTCTGGGCCTAACTCCCAAGGATTTGCTATGGTGCAGAACGGAAGACCTACCCAAAAGGCCTCTAATATGTTAAGGTATCACTCTCCATATAATGAATGCTTCGTTCTCCTCAACTTCCGATGTAGGAGTGCCATAACCATAGGCATCTTATTTTCTAATAAATTGTAGGTTTAGACGGTAAGTAGTCATCCCTAAGCTACTCACAAAATAACATGTCCCTTAGTTTTATACAGTTCAAGATTTACTCGGGTGCCAAGGCCCCAAGAGCAATCATTTATAAATTATTGTGTATGCTTAAACCCTATGTTACATGAACTCAGATAGAAGGATCCGACACTGGTACGGATTCGAGTGTCCGACACATTAATCTCGAAATTTTTGGACACGGGGACTTTGTCCGAGTTTTGGACACGGGTATGGGGACACGGCATTAATGTATAATAACTTATAATTTTTATTTATTTAGTGAAGGAAATTTAACAAAAAAAATAGTTAATTAGTTAACAAAAAATGAAACTCTTAATTGTATGATATTACTCTGTAGTGTAATCGGACACAAGGAATACAAGTATTACTTTGAGGGAGTACAATAAAAATAAAAAATTGAAATGAGATAGTGGAGTGTGGGTCCACTTAGTAAAAAAAGAAAAAAAAAAAAAGTTATTTGGGGTCTAGTGTCAATCTGTCAAACATTTAATTTCAGCCATAATTTTTTGATTCCTCTCTCCTCTCTCCTATACCCTCTCTCTTCTCTTTTTCAACGGTCTTCATCTTCAGGCTTGTTCACTCTCTGCCATTTTTTAAGCTTCGAGAACATGAAGCTCAAGTGGCGAGTCTGAGTGCATTCAGAATCGTGTCAACACGGGTACGTGACGATTTTTGTCGAGTCCATGTAACAGAGCTTAAACCTATGATTTTTGGACTCAAATACTCGTGTCAAACACAAGTATGTGTCCAAGTGTGAGACTCGACTAGTTAAGATATAGTCAAATCGAAAAGTTGAAGATCTGACACAAAAGGTAAATGAAGAATTTAAGTAACATACGTCAAAATGACATTACTACTAGCATCCATATTCAAAAGAACTGGAACATTCTCAAATTTGGTTTATTTAAAATAAATATAATAAGCTTTGTCTAGTTTTTCAATATCTTTCTTTATCACGTGAGCATTTCTCCCATCTCTCTTTATTTCTCTCTTCATCATATGGGATAGGGTTGCCTATCCCATATGTTGCATTTGTTGAGAACAGATTAAGTAAATTACAAGTAATTTTAGAAGAACATAATCAATAACATAACCCTAGTTGTCTACAAAATAGCATATAATACCATTGTTTGTTAACATACTGTTGAAAGTAACAAGTAAAAAGTCAGTAGATAATGATAAAGTTAAAAATATAAAAACCAAAAAAAAAAGGAAGTAAAGCAAAATAACATGCAGACTACCTTGCTACCTAATATGCATTGGAGAGGGGGGGTAACACCTACCTTACACTATTACACCTCCATTGTCAATTATTATACGTAGTATTTTTTTAACCAAAAGATTAGAATAAAAATAGAAAAACAGGCAATAAAAGCAACAAACTTTGGATTGAGAAATAATTATTACTACCACCAATGCCATAATATAAGATAGGTTTAAGCATAAAAGAGAAAATGAAGAAATGTATAGCAATCTTTAGATTAGGTATAAAGGAAAAATTAAAGAAATGAGGAAACAAAGCATAAAAGCATGGGAGAGAAAGAGAGAGCATCAAAGAAGAAAAAGAGATAGGGAAAAAGAGGTTAAGTGTTCATACTCTATTTTGGTGACCTAATGTAATAAAACATAGCATTACTTCACGAGATCATAAAGCTAACTCTTAATACGAAGGATGACATGTTGCCACAATCGAGGTACCACAAGTGTCACACATACCACCTAACTATAAGATGTAACACATCTATTACGTGTACTTTGCGGTACATGTCATAGTATAATGATATTTATTTAAGATGTGGTGGTGGATTGCAAAATTTAGTACATCAATATATGTGTATTGCATGTAGTGAATGTGTATCACATGTTGAACATACCATCACAACTATTTAAAACCCATCAAAAAAATATATATGCACTGCAACAATAAAGCGTGAATATGTTAGAATTTATTAAGACGATAAAGAAAGTAAAAAATGAATTTTTAAAGATATTTATAAAGACAGGAAATAAAGTAAAAAATGAATTTTTATTGATATTTGAATTTGGTACAATCTCAGTATAACAGTTATCAAAAATAAACTAAATCCTTTGATACTATTTAACTTTGGAGAGTGACGTCATCAATTGGCTTCGCTACTTTGGGGTCAGGGTTAACATGTCAGCACTCTCCAAAAGTTGATTCACCTTTCTTGCGACGTGACTTTGGGTTGTATTGCAAAATAAGGGTGGACAACTTTGCTTTCTCTTTGAAGGAATGAGAGTCATGCTTTTCATCCACTTCATCCTTATGTTGCAATTGCTGAACTTGAGATGTCTTTTGGATGTTTGAAGGTAAAGCAATGCCCTTCTTAACCTCTTTTTTTCCTGTTAAGAAAATTACGAGCGGCATTTCAGTCGACCCCTCTTCATCTTCAAAAAACTTAGGCGTCAACAAAGTAAGAATCCGCTTTGCTGGAGGGTT